GACGACTTTGCCTAAAAAATAAGATTTCTTAAGATTCAAATGTTTGATACGTATTGCATGCGAAAACAAGCTACAGTATTTGTTTGTGATTTTGAAATACTTTTGGGCTAAATTTGGTTTTTCAAGTGCTTAATTATCAGAGTGGTCGACTGTCATTGATAACTATCACAGTACATAATAATGGGGTTTCCAATCAAGTCATCGGAGTGGAGAACGTAGACTAGTGGTTGTTACGTGGTTCTTCTTCTGGCCATTTATTTTTCCGTCTTCCCAATTCTTTTTTCACTCACTGCGCGTATCACGGTGATCCTAACATCCAAATCGTTCTTACATTTTTTTGTGAGCGTCTTAAATTACTGTCCGAGCACGTCTTACAAACTCGAAGATAGTCGCCTGGCTGTGGCTTCTATAGGGGTTTCGATGTTGACTGCCGGTGAGTATTGGGGAAAGGGGTTTACTCTGGGAGCGCCACAAACAGCATCACCACCACTCGACCACGCCATCGGCCCCAATCCCATAGTCCTCTGTGAGAACTTGAGAAATTTGTTTTGCAAATAGGCTATATGGAAGTGATACGGATAGAGCGTGTTGGTCTACTCATGGTTTCATAGCAGTGATTTTCGTGTTTTATACGAAGACGTATCAGATTGCGAAGCTCTCATCGCTCTCAGGCTTTCAGTAATGAAATTTCGATATTAATGAAAAAACAAAGTGTTTCCAGTATAAGCAGGACGATGAGAGCCAGTCTATTATGCGACAAACTACGTTCAAGTGAAATTCTTGATGACAAAGTAGAAATTGTGCCCATCATTAACTGCAAATTACGTCAATTTTACCGACGATGTGAAGTTACTACAATGATTGAATTCTGTGCAATAGCATACTCTTGGTGCCGAGCAAGATTGTAATGGAACAATCATGTCTGATGAGCTGTACCTTGCCGTCTCATCACTTGCACCAGCTCCTGCACAATTTCTGAAAAACAATCGTCCATTCGTCTCAACAGTTTCGTAGAAATAGCCGTGAACCATACAGACAAAGCCGACGTTCGCTGAATTTTTCATTCTTTCGCTTTCGTTTTTCTCGTGCTGTTCTGAATCGTTTTTCATCAAAATATCCGTATTGCAGAGAATATCGTCCAGATTCTGGGCGCTCAGGCCATTTCTGCAAAATATCTCTCGACATCTAGATCCATTTTGTCCAAATATAGGCCAAATATTTCAAATCTTTGTCAGATAATGTCGTAACAATTGCAAACCTGTTGCGTTCTGCTTCGAAGTTCTCCACTGCTAAGATCTTCCAGTACTGAATAGTCAGGCGGAGAAAGTGTGACCTAAATATATCTCACGTAAAGAGGTGGATTCCTTGAGTCCAACTTCCAGAACAGGCTTATACCAAAATGTGCTCACCTCAGTACCATCGAGTGAACTCGAATCGTGTGAGCTCATTAGACCACCCAGCCGAAACACTTTGTAGAAATAAGCCACATCGCAATGCACTTCCACAATCAGAGTATGATTTACTAGTTTGATACTGATTTCAAAACATTACTGATTACGACGTCAGAATTTATCACCGCTACTTGATCAAAACTACTTTAATAAAGAGGGTGAACAGCGTAAATTCAACAGATCAGTATTCTTTCTTAGAATGACGTGAATATAACAGAACAGAAACATTGCAAATAGAATTCTTGAAAAAAGTGCTATTTATCGCAACCATTATTTTATTTCTCAATAGATTTGTTCATCAAATGTGCTATCTCTAAGATAATATTTACCCGTATTTACATTTTATGTCTAATCAGAAGAACGGGTCGATGCTTTTCTATCAAAATTTATGAAACTTTAGAGCAAACAGTTCACTTCTAAGTGTTAATGCATGTGTTGTACCACAAACGCTTCAGACTCTCGGAACTCATTTTGAAGTTTTCAAATTCAATAAAGTGAAGTAACTATTGAATATTTCATGGTGTATTTTGTTGTTGAAGAAGTGTCATCTATTGATTTTCTAACTGCTTTGAAATAAGGCACTTTGATCCTAGAAGGGTCTGAAAAGGCCACTGTAACCAAAAACAATGCCATTTTAATATAGCATCTAATTTTACAGGAATGTGCCTGTATATGGAATAAAGTAAATAAAGAGACTGCCAAGGTCGAAACACGTGTACCGGCTTTATAAGCCAACCCTTATACAACAGACCACATGCGTGGCTTGATAATAATCATTATCAGGCATACTGAAATTTGAGAGTGGTCTCAAGAAAACACTCGAAACGGAAGATATAACATAATTGGCAATACCAGTCAATCAATCGAATGTAAAATACCGTCGAATCAGTGATATTTCCACCTAATGGCACATGTAAAAAGTTCGTCGTAGACATCGGAACAAAAAGAAGTAAATAAACTTATAACTATTGAAGTTTCCGTCTGGTTGCAGCTTTCTTTTCGAGTAGCTGATGGCACGACGATCTCGTCAACGAACCATAAAAGTTTGTGTTTTTTCAAAGTTAAGAGATTCAGTCATTAATGTACGGCTCTTGCCTTCTCATCATCAAGTTTCCCTTACTATTCTAGTTTCAGCTGGACATATTGTCGAAGAGTCGCAGCTTTTTCAACGTCTCAACACATCGAAAGTGTTGTTTCTTGATCTTGTTAAACGATATTTGTAAACATTTGTGGTTGGCTCCGACTCCTCCAGTGGCCCAGACATCTGGTGAAGGTGTATATTTAAAATGATGATATCGACTACTGCGTTCATGTCATCAAAAATCATCGTTGCTGTATTATATATCCCTAAGAGAATTGAGTGGTGAGCAAAAACACTCACCACTCAATTCTCTTAGGAATATATAAAACATCATAACAGTGCGAAATGCGCTGAAAATACTACCAATTTCGAGCATCATTGCTGTACTGTTAAAGAGAGACAGGGAGAAACTGCACACCGCCGGCAAATGATCGGCATCCCTCTACTGTTAGTGGTCTACAGTTTGCTTGCTTTTTCGTATTTATGCAAAATAATTCATATAAACGATAACAATACGAAGAACAAGCAGAGTTTCGGTTTGCATCACTTTGATCTTTTTAGGTGCTATAAAGAAAAATGTCCCTGGATCGTCAGCCGTACTAAATTGAGTAAATCTGAACGTCTTCACAATTTTGCAAGAATACGCAATTGGTTTTCTATTGCATTTATTACCTTATGTTCTTAATACAAATATCATCAGAGATTAGTGGAATAGTGAATTATCATTTATTGCAGATAGAGTTGTAATAAGACAAATGAGCAACCCTTCAATTTCTACAGCACATATTCCCGCGTATAAAAAGCCCAATTGAGCGGACTGAAAACCACTGAAACATATGCAATGTACATGTTCTTGTCAACAACAAACACCTTGTTTCCAACAATGAAACATTCAAAAACCTCCCAGAGCATTTTGCTTAACCTAGTATGAGTAGTACTTCTCCAAACTCATGTTCTAGTACTCCTTCACATTTCTACCCTCGCACGTTTGAATCGAGTTCACCTAACATCTACAAGTAGTCATCGTCTTTGGGTGATCATCGCTTTTCAAACGTTAATACTCTCACTGTCAACACAAAACACGTGAAACTATTCTGACATCATACGCTACGCATTTGTTCTTTACACAAATATGATAAATACATTGCTATGCTGCATGCATTTCGTGCATCCTCTTTTATTCCGAAATCATCCAAAGATTTGCTTACAACTTTTTTTTATTCGCAACTGGCAAGGTAGAAAACAAATTGTTGTGCATTAACACTATTTCGGGAAAAAAATGTGGTTTGAAAAACGGCTAGATGTTTCAAGATAAATATTCACATTTTTTTTGTTAGAAGCTTGTCGTTTTGAAAAGCATGGGACCGACATCGTTCAGTAGACAACTGAAGCGGAAACAATTGCATCACAATCTTCTTAAGTTTGATCTTACAAACGCTGTAACAGCGCGATCCTTTACTGTTTTGCAGTTCGGTAACATCGTGAATTCACAGTTTCAAGTGAATAGGTTCAATACATGCGCAGGTGTGTGGCCGAAAGAAATGAATTTCAACAATCAATGCAGTCGACTATTTCGAGACCTCGCTTAGAAATAATATAGTCTGACAATGTCTTCTGACCCTTTCATCAAATTTGCTATCGGCACTTCTACTATGCAAAACTTGTGAATCGGTCTCCCAGCCTCGTTGGTTGCACAGTGGCTTCTCTTTCACTCAGTTTGTCCGGGATCTATCCCTACATAGAGGAATCGAAGCCAACTCACTCAACGTAAGGTGCAAGAATCACTGTGATCTCCTATCAGAGGATGAAAATTGATTTTTACTTCTAGTAACTAACTCTATTCACCTTCGTGCCAGTTCTGTTACCCTATTAATCATTGGAATTTTGATGTGAATAAACAGATTTTGTAGGCTAAACCTCCCTGTTAAGGTTATGAAAGTGTTTGCATGGATAGATTACATCTCAACTTGACCATCTAAATCCTTAAAAACGTCAGTCACTATGAATAGATCTCATAGTAGCATTTAATGATTAATTCTTCATATGATGCAGAGATCATGTATATTCTGTGCTTGGAACCTAATTTTTAACAAGCTTTATATTTGGTGAGCGACAGGAGTAAACGAACATTTTCCGCTAGATACGCGGACATTCACTTTCTAGTGAGATACCATGTTTATGCTTTTATATTGTGGATCCGAGTACTTCTAGCATTCATTCCGTCTGCTCGCATTTACTCTCATTTGAGGATTACGTCTTCTATGAAATGAGAAGTGAAAAAATTCGACCTCAGGCGGAAGTTGAACCCGCATTTTATCCATAACAAGGGCGCGGACTGCCACTACATCGCCGTGGTTACCGCTTATCCACCACTCATTTTTTATCATCTCACTATCGCATTTACCATAAATCAGTCGTTAACAGGTTGAATTAAGAAATATGAAAGATTGAGTGATGGGTAAGCTGTGGCCATTGTGGTGTAGTGGTAGCACGCGCCCTCGGTATGGGTAAAAACGGGTTCAACTCTCGTCCGAAGTCGGGCTTTTGCACACCGTTTAATTCCCTCAAGCATATCTAAAACAATATAACACTGTACAAAATGCAGTAAAAACATTAGAGATCCTGAGATTTCGTCTTTGCCATGAACGTTACCAAGTACTGCTCAGGAAGATCCCCTTGCAATTTTGAGGATAGCTAGGCTGGGCGCTCCTTGGAGTTTCGTTGAATAAATTTCAGAATGCTGAGAGGATAAACCCTTAACCGAGCATCACTAATCAGTCGTCGGCCGCTTCAACAAGAAAAGTTTTAGATGAATTTGCCTCAGTCACA